AATGGTGCCAAAATGTAAACAAATATAAACTTAAAAACAGGGATCCAATGTAGCCCACAGCTAACTTACTGAATTCATGGAATTGTAGCTCTAAAACTCAGGGCCTGATTATCCCCCCATATAGAAGGAAGATGAAGAGAGAATGAAAAAAATGGATATAGTTCTTTTTCAAGTTGCACTATCAATAATGTTTGACATAACAACGCCTCAGAATGTCTCACTAACATGGTGTAGCGTGGCTAAAGTGTTGGACAGACTCTGGACAGAAATTTTATTGCAACTGTAAAACGTCTAACACTTTGGGTTCGCTGATCATCATCATTTTTAAATTCTATATATCAGGAAATTTTTATTATAAATCATCTCCTGAAAACCTTTCAGCACAACACAATCTTCAATACATTATACTCAACAAAACGGGTTAACACATACTGTCCTCTGCCTCCTTTCATTGGTTAGAGAGAATGAAACTGAATGCACTCTGCAGTGTTTCTGCCCTCAGCAGAGAATAAGCCTGCTCATTTTCCATGCAAATTATTCTGTTGAGGGTGAGTTGGCGTGTTTCAGCCGTCTGAGAGTTTCACAGGGAGAGACTTGCTCCCAGGAGGTTTGGGACTGGCAGCGCTCCACTTTCACGCTGCTTTCCATCTACAAAACTGCATATTTTTGGAGCGTCATGGTGGATCAGTGCTGCGAGTTACAGACCATTTCAATGTGACTGGAATCTAGACTCCCTGTTTTCTCCCCAATATTTTCTTTATCACATCTTCTTCATCCTCCTGGGTGGTTTTGAGCTTTAACCATTTACCCTTCCTGTTTATCTTACTTTTATAATAACCTATGAGTAAAATAATGAAAATGTAGCATAAAAACACACATTTCCATATTCCATAAGTGCTAGAAAGTGGGTGTACTCTCTATTTATTACAAGAGGCATTCATTTACAACTGCAAAAAGAGTCTACAGCCCTGCTCTGTGATTCTGTATGGAGCACTGAGCTAAATGCATAACATCAGCATGCTAATTTACTCACAATGACTATACTAATATGTTGATGTTTAGAAATAATAATGTTTATCATGTCTATCACCTTCATGGTAACATTTGTACAACTGAGGCTAATAAGAATGTAATTTTGAGATATTTCAGTGAAAATGTGTAAACTGTGACTGATGGAGGCATTAGATGAAAAGTCAAAATGAGAATGCCCAAATATTGGACTTGTTGCAGAAATAACGTTAGACAGTTAACAAGTTAATATTGCTTATTTATGTGTGTAGCTGTCATAATAGTGTCAAGCTAATGTTGACTCTCAATCAGGATTGTTAAAGACTAAACATAACGCAACAGAACAGCATCTGACTGTGGTAATCATAGTGGTGGAATGTAAGTACTGTAGTTTTTCTGCTACTTTATAATTCTACTCCACTCCATTTCAGAGGCAAATATTGCACAAAGGCAAAAATATTGGCAAAGGCAGGAAGGATAAGGGAATACAGTAATAATAATAATCCATGTTTTCCTGCTCTTTCCAATTAAACTTTGGAGCTTCTGATAAATCTAAACACACTTGGAGTCTTTCTCTTTGTCTGTCATACACACACACGCACACGCTTTGAGCTCTATCTACAAGCAGCACATTGTTGCAGCACTGGCGGCGCCCAACGAACAGTAGTTACACGGACGTCTGCCAGGCAGCTTCTGGCACTAGAGATAAGGCGTGTTTTAAGATCACCATAGCAACCACACTGAGCCCTGCTGCGCTGTGGATGATGGGAATATGAACGAGGAGCTGATGTAGTGGAGCCTCCATTAAAACACACTCAGCAGTAAAAACATTCATACATGTCCAAAGCTGCTCTGTAAAACCACTTTTGAGCATTTTGCTTATGGACTATGGATCACCATGGAAATAACTCATGTTGACATGTAACTGTCATGGAAATTTGACAGTCCAAACTCCAGGTCATACCTGTCTGTCATAATTGATCTGTGTCTCCTGCTCAATGTCGGAGTCAAGCTCCGGGACATCCGACACGTCGCTGTCCGACTCCTCACTGTTGGAGTCTCCGTGGCTGTCTACAGAGGAGAGATGAGAAAGAGAGATAAACATGTTGTTTTTAATTCAATTATCTACAACCACAAATTTGGTAAATGGGGAAAATGAAGACAAACGTGAACCTTCAAATGTTCATTACAAACATTTATTACACTGCAGAGCTACTTATTAGTTCAAGTGAGACCACTTAGGGATCCCTTCATGGGAACCCTTATAAGGACTCAAGATAGTCAAGAAAATTGGAACCATCTTCAGGACCTTAGTAACTCGTATGTGAATCTCTGAAGCCTCAAAGCAGAAACAACTTACTAGTTCCTTTCCAGAGACCCCCTAAAGCATACCAAAGAAAACTTGGCACCAAGAACTTCAAACTCTCTTGAAGTCTGCTGAAAACCAAGAAAACACCTAAAGCCATTAGAACTCTTATACTTTCAATTCTCATCAGGTCTGCTAAAAGTCTACTCAAAAGAACCTAAAGCCTGCTAAAGAAAACCTGGAACCATTAAAAAGAACCTGTCTAGGACCTGCACCACAAAAAGGATCTCTTAGGAAAAACTGGAACCTACTCTCACGGAGCCCTCTAAAGCCTACTCAAGAAAACCTGAAACCATCTACTGGACCCTTGTCACTCTCATTGTCTCTACAGCCTTCGCAAAATAACCAAACATGAGACACTAACAAGACCATGGAACTTGCACAAGGACCCCTATAGTCACGTAATATCAGAACTACTTTCCACACACTTGGAACTTCCATTAAGATTCCTAAAGCTGCTCAAGAAAACCCGGAACTTATACAGGACACTTGAAACCTATCCAAGAAACTTACACTTGGAACACTCATTGGGTCTCCTCAAGTCTATTCAACACAATCTGGCACCACCCTTGGCACGGTCAATGTGACCTCTAAAGCTTTTTGAAGAAAACCTGAAAGACGAGACCCTTCAAACTGTCAGGACCTAGTAAGCCTAAATGAAAAACGTGGGCACCTGGTTTTACAGAAACATTGGAACTCTCATAAACCCTCCTAAAACTCCCTCAAGCCCAGTTTGACCACAGGAGCTCACAAAAGGACCTCAGAAAACCTGCTCAAGGACCTCTGAAGCCCCCTCAAGAAAACCTGTAACTAGTTAGGAAAGCATTGTCTGCTCTGTTGTAATGTACCCCTACTTGGTTCGTCATCCTCTGATCTGCTTCACTCAACGCTACCCTGTTTCCCTACCTTGTATGTTGATATCCACTCCTCCATTCATGACTGACTCTGGTAGAAACCTCCACTGGAAGAGGGCGTGGTCAGCCCCACCCGTGGTCAGCACCCACTGCAGGTCATGTGACCAGCGGACATTAGTCACATGGGCTGAGTGACCAATGTACTTCTTGAATTTGGCTCCTTGGAGAGAATAGACAACTTACATTTAACAACAAAACAGGGAGAAGAAAGTACAAAAGACAGAGAAGGAAAGAAAGCTAGAGACCTTTCCTCAAACAGGGGAAGCGGTACAGCTTAACAAGGCCGAGGTCGTCTCCGGTAACAAGCACAGCAGCAGCATGATTGGCATCCACGGCGTTGATCTCTGTTAGATTAGAGTATTTAGGCCAGATGCCACTGACTTCTGAGCCCAGAACGCCACTCCAGGATGCCCAGCACTGACCTTTTACCTCCTCTTTACTGACAATTGGTTTCCCCACTGCAGGAGGACGAAAACAGCGTGTGAATGTTACATCTGAAAATACCTTTTTAATTCCTGTGGAGTTTCATGTATTAGCATGCACCAGTTTGTCTTTATGTAGATGCTAATGATAAAAAACAGCCTATTTGCAAATTTTTTATCAGTGATCACTTGGAACAGACAAAAGCGGGAAAGGGAAATGTGGGTATGGTGCAGATTTTAATCTTCCACGCTAAAATCTGTTCTGAGTCAAGCTGCAGAGCTGGTTTCTCTTGGTGGAAGTTTTGTGTGGGAAATCTTGTGAACAGTCTGTTACAATGGCAACACATCATATGTGTTTTCGGTTTGCTTTGACATCTAAATAAATGTTTTGTGGTATGATCCAGCCTTTCCCTTCTATCTTCCTTACTTTCTCCTTCTTTCTTTTATCCGTCATTCACTCCGGGATAGTTTTTTCCCCTGTTTCTGTCCTAAAAGTTAAAGTCCTCATCAGACCACATTTTTTCTGCTATTAATGGTCAGACTTTTTTTCTGCTACAGCCGTTCAATTCATTGACATTCTTTAATTATTTCTCTACAAGGTAGTCTTCATTGTTGGTGGCGGAGTTCGCCATTCCAAACTGCCTTCACATGGACAAGGGATTCACAGGAAACAATGCTGCATTGAATCCAGTGTAAATTTATCTCATTGATATCCACTCCACTGTTTACTTTTCACTCTCCCACTTACTGCTATTGCTAACCCAACATTTCCTACTGCTGCTGCTTAAAAGCATTCAAGTGGCAGAACAAAGTGATGGATTTTATTGTGCACAGCCACAGGAAATACAATGGTCATTTTAGTTATTATTTGTCTGTGGATGAGCTGTAAATCTGTCAAAGAGTAATGGAAGAGTCAACAGCAGCCACGGAGAGCTGTTAGCAATACAACCAACTCCTTTTACTGTATCCTGCTGTTGTGTGCAAAACTACTGGCTGTGTGTGCAGCGTGAAATCAGATGGAGGTTGTTCATTTCATGATGGAAAAAGGACAATTATCGAATGACTTCTTTATAAAAGCTGCTCAAGGTGTGTTTGCTGACCCCGGATTCAAATAATGTAGTATTTAACAGCTCTTGCTGTCACCATGGTAACCACAAGTTTCAACTACAACTGCAAAGCATTTTTACTTTTACTTTAAAAACATTTCCATTTCTTCGTCTTAAATTATCACAATCAGCCTCCTCCCTTACTGTGTCAGTCGTGTGTGTCCTTTCTCTGACAGGTACACTGGAGAAGTTCAGCTTATGAATACATGCATGAATCTGACTGTGTGTGTCTAGCAGTGTATTTCAGCATCGTTACATACTGGAGAGAAAGTAAGACTTAAAAAAAAAAAAGACTAACTGTAATAAGTATGAAAACATGTTTTTTTGTAATTTGGGTGAGCTGTGTGTAATGTGTATGCTTGCCCTATAATACAGAAAGCTCTTTTTTTTCTAGAACAGTTTGAGGAACCTAAGGCTGAAGGCATGACTGTAGAGACTCACTGGGCATTCGGTAGAAGAGGCGTTCTCCAGCTCCGTCGTTGGTCTGCAGGATTTTGCTGTCCAGAGACCAGTCCAGGTGTGTGATAAAACTGGTGGATTTACAGCACTCTCCTATCTGCAGGCAGACAGACAGAGGAAATTATAGCGTGATGGCATTATGTTAGTACTTTTGGTGGACTTTTGTTTTTGTACTGTTCTTTGTACCTTGTGGTTCATTCATACAAATTTTTCAACACATCCTTGTGTCTGAATAGGTCAATGGGCAATGACTCTCAAAACGGCGTATAAAACTTTTTCGAAAACGTTAAAAATGGCCGTTGGAGAGTACCAACAACAGTGGTACTGGACCTTCATCGTCACCTAGCTAACATTGTGAAATGGTCGCAGTGTGGTTAGGTGTAGGCACTAAAACTACTTGGTTAGAATTAGGCTAGCAGCACATTGCCAGACCATCTCCACAGTGCTAGCAGCAGGGACTTAAAAAAGCTAACAGGAGGAAAAATCTCACCAATGGCAGGCTTATCCCCCCAGTCTACAATCTACTTAGTTGGGTTTAGGCAACAAAAGTACTTGGTAAGGGTTAGGAGAAGATCACAGTTTGGGTTAAAATAAGTACACTAGTTAAGTAACTTAATTTACATTACGCATGGTTAAAACAACTGAAAGTTCACTTTTGGTTTTGCACAGGACACAAACAGCTCTCCTGGATGACCCACCATCCACCACCATGACTGACCCATCCATCCAATCTCCTCCCTAAGCGGACTTTGTCGTTCTTTATACATTGTCACCTGACTTCCTTCTTTGCTCCTGTCAATCACTTTGGCCCCTAGAGGTCGCTGCTGAACAATACGCACATATGGGTGGTAATAACCCTAACCTATTGGGCTGTTTTTCTGGTAAGGTGTTGTGTCTCTTCAAGTGTGTTAATTTTAGTCATGTTCATATTAGTGTTTCATGTTTAGTCCTTCCTGTTTTATTTTGTACTCACCTTTTCCCTCACAATTTAGAACCTGACTTCCTCCCTTCTGTTGAATTGGATTATTCCGATTTGTATTGTCTGCACCCCTGATTGTTTTTCTATTGTTTTACTTAAAGTGATAAATAGTTCTTGTTCCATGTCTTGTCAGTTTGTTTGTTCAGTTGGTAGAAAGAGTATTGTTAAGTGTTCAGCCAATGTTCTGTTATTTCATGTTTCAATTGAGTTTGTGTTTTTGTTGACCTCTTGGACACCTTTTGTTTGAATTTTATTTTGATAAATAAAATATAATAAAATTTTTGCTACATCTTTGTTTGTCCAGAGTCGTGCATTTGAGTCCCCAGTTACTGTGGTCAGAGGTGGAAAGCGCAGTGACCCCCAGG